CCATGGCTAAAACAACTGCTAGGAAAGAGCTGATGACAAAAAATTATACATTTTGTAATGAAGCAGACCAAAGAATGGAGAGTCTACAAATCAGCTATCAATGGGATTATCACTCTAAGAAACAGGACAAAAAAAAAAAAATAATAGGAAGGAGATAATCAAATAAATTTATTAAAAATGCATAGAGGTTTAAAAAAGAAAAAAACACTATAATTAAAGAATAGGTAAGTATTAAAGATTTCAATAATAAAAAAATAGATAGGTATGAAGATTTCAAATAGAATCAAATTCTAAACGGAAATATAGTTGCTAAATGTTTATAAAGATTTTAATGGCTTCTTTGAGATATAATAATTTATATACTCCAAAATTCAACCATTGTAAGGGCACACTTTAATAAATTTTAGTAAATGTGTAGAGTTGCACAACTATCACCATATTCCTGTTTTGGAATATGGCCATTGCCTCAAAAGTCATTGAATTTTGAAATTGATGGATATCTTAAATATTTAAGGTGATGAATAGCCCAATTACACTTATTTGATTATATAAAGATATCAAATTATCACGTATCCCAAAAATATGTACATATAATATATATCAAATAAATTTTTAAAAATGGGTGGGCAGACAAATATATTCCAGAAAAGAGGTATAGTCTATAGTAGTGATAGTAAGCAAATCATTGGTTGCCTATGGTTAAGAGTTAGAGGAGATTGAGTAAGAAGAGTATAAAGGAATTTTCTGAGGGTGATAGAATGTTCTATATCTTGGTTGTAGTAGCAGTTACAGAGTATATAAAATTTCAAAACTCAGGGAAATATATAAACAATTTATTTTAAGCATATTGTGTACCAGGAAAGGTGATTTTCAAAATTAATGGGCATTTTAAACAGCAGATTAGAAATAATTTAATACAGAAGCAGTGCCATGGATAATAGATCTGAGGGAAACAGCTAGAATAAAGTCAAAGAAATAAAGAAGTGGAAAGTAAAAGATTGGTGTGATTGGCTGGTGATCCCTGCCTCCTGGTGTTTAAACCTTGTGGAATCCCTTTCATTTGGTTGTTAGATTGGACTTTGTGACTTGTTTCTAACAATAAAATAGGGCAAGACTGATGAGATGTAAGTTCTGTGATTAGATTATGGACCCTCTTGCTGGCATTCTCTCCTGCCTTCTCACTTGATCCCACTGGAGAAGCAAGCTGCCATGTTGTCAGATGCCCCATGGAGAGGTCCGCTCAGCAAAGAGCCAAGGGAGCTCTCCATCTATTTTTCACGATGTACTGAGGCTTCGATCCAACAGCTTGCAAGGAACCCACCAAGCATGTGAGTGAGCAAAGAAGCAGCCCTGTCCCATTGAGCTTTGAGATGACTGCAGACTTGCAAGAGACTCAGAAGTACATTCTTTAGTTTATTGCATTTACACTTTCATATTGATGGAAATTTAGCTTAATCAACTCAGCACATGTACAGCTATATAGTTGGGGCCCAGCTTTTCACTCACAGAGAGTCAAATATTCCAATTTAGAATAATTCACAAGTGTTCTCAGCATTCACCCCTGGAACTCTCTTTTATTACTTATGATATTTAATTAAATTCAGCTGGGCTGTTAATAGGTTTTATTCTAGTGTCTCTGAATGTACTAAATCAATTTTGATTTAATAGTTGTTTTTATTCTATGGCTACAATAAATTTTCAGCAAGTACATTTTATTGTTAGAGAAGGCTCACTGCCACTAATTTAAGGCTTTCACTTAGAATTTTAGTACCTTTAATTTAAAGACAATCTTTTTTCACAAAAAAATACCATACAGTCCCAGAAACATTTGTTGTGTTTATGATTTATCATAACTGAGATTTTTCTGTATCTTAGAAAGAAATTTAAAAATTATCATTCTGTTTTTGCTTAAGATTGCTTTTGCTATACTGGGTTTTGTCTGGTTCCATACAGAGTGTAGAATTATTTTTTCTAGATCTGCAAAAACTGATCTTGCTATTTTAATAGGGATTACATTGAATCTGTAGATCACTTTGGGTAGTATAGACATGTTAACAATGGTGATTCTGCTGACCCATGAGCATGGTATGGTTTTCCAATTATTTACATCCTCTACTATTTCCTTCCTCACTGTTTCATAGTTCTCCCTGTAGAGATCTTTTTCCTCCTTAGTTAAATATATTCCTAGGTATTTTACTTTCTTTGCTGCTATTTTGAAGGGTACTGAGTTTTTGATCTGGTTCTCAGCTTGACTGTTGTTGGCGTATAGGAATGCTACTAATTTCTATACATTGATTTTGTAACCTGAGACTTGCTGAATTTGTTTATCAATTCCAGTACCCTCATGGCAAAATCTATGGTGTTTTCTAGATATAAGAGCATGTAATCAGCAAAGACTGATAGTTTGACCGGCTAGGACTTCCAGCACAACGTTGAATAGAAGCAGTGTGCATCTGCACTAGAATGTTTATAGCAGCACAATTCACAATTGCAAAGATGTGGAAACAACCCAGGTGCCCATCAACATATGAGTGGATTAGTAAAATGTGGTATATGTATACTATGAAGTTCTACTCAGCCACAAAAATCAATGGTGATCTAGCACCTCTTGTATTATCCTGGATAGAGATAGAGCCCATTCTACTAAGTGAAGTATCACAAGAATGGAAAAACAAGCATCATATGTACTCATCATCAAATTGGTATGAATTGATCAACACTTAAGTGCACTATAGTAATAACATTCATCAGGTGTCGGGAAGATGGAAGTGGGGAGGAGGGGATGGGTATACACACACCTAATGGGTGTGATGTGCACCATCTGGGGGTTGGACATGCTTGAAATTCTGACTTGGGTGGGGCAAAGGCACTATACATAACCTAAATATTTGTACCCCTGTAATATGCTGAAATAAAAAAAAATAATTTAAATTATCATTCTGCTATTCACACTTTACATGAAAAGGAATGGAGTACATTAGAGCAGTTACACAATGTTGTCCAAAACCAACACCAGTGCTCAACCCTTTCACATCCTTGATGCTGCCAAAGATAGAACTAATAATCCAAGAGAAGCCATCAATACCATGTTAATGTTACTCAGATTAATACTTTAATCACACTCATATGATGCCACACTTTAAAAAAACTTAGAGCAAAGACCCATAAAATATGACAATTCATAACTGTGCTGTATAAACTCAATTCTATTTCAATCACTCATATTCAGTCGCAAAACTAGTTCCCAACATGAACATGTGCAATGTCCTGGATCTGCTTGCTCTGACACATTCTCTCTGTGGCTGCACTAAACATGGCTGATCCCTCCTGCATGACGATGAAATGAATATATTGAATACATGATGCATTGTACTACTCACGGGCATTCATAAGTATTTTCTACTTCCAACAATGTTGCAAAATATCTATCTTATAATTTTCATTTTGCAGATGAGGAAACTGAGTCTTCAATTCTGTGACAGGTAGAAAGTCATCAAAGAGGTGAGGAAAGGCAAGTTCCCTAGTGGAGTGAGAAGCTCAGGACAGAGGTTTCTCAGATGGGCACCCCTAGGTAAGACAGTTCACTTCTCTTGCCTTTTTTCATCTGCTGTAAAATGACTGTTCACCTAAATAAATTCTAAGTTTCATGCCAGAGATGACAAACTAGAATCCAAGTCTCTTGATGCCTAATCTCTGCAACCACACAATGATGAAAGTGGTCAATACAGAAAAAGTAGAAGCCTCTCTTAGATCCAACCTGACTGCTGAAGCACAGCTGTGTGTTGTTAGGTGAGGACTGAACAGTGGAGAAGAAATGGGGGCTGCAGGATGATGCTTTTCTGTCAGTGCTAGATTTGAGGCTTTGCAGGAGACCAATGAATGCTCTCGAGATTTATGATAATGTAATCTGAATTTGCATGTTTATAGATATTAGCAGTCGTAACTAGAATGAAAGCACTGATTGGCACAACATATGCCTAATAAATGTTAATAATCACTATGCTACTCTTGAAATCATTTCCAAATCTTTGCTAAAAGCTCTATCTTCCTCTTTTTATTATTTTTAAATTGACAGATAAAATTGTATGCTTTTATCATGTACAACATGATGTTTTGAAGTATATATACATTATGGAATGACGAAATCTAGCTAATTAACATATGCATTAATTCACATAGTTATTTTATGGTGAGAACAGTTAATATCCACTCTCTTATAATAGCATTTTTCAAGAATACAATGCATTGTTATTAACTATAGTCACCATGTTGTATAATAGATCTCTAGAAATTATTCCTTCTAGCTAACTAAAATTTTGTACCTGTTGATCAACATCCCTTCAACTCTACAACAACCCCAGCCCTTGGTTACCACTGTTCTACTCTCTTGTTCTATGAGATCAACATTTTTCCATTCTGCATGAGTGAGATTATGCAGTTTTTGTCCTTTTGTGCCCAGATGAATGGATAAAGCTCTATATTCCTTTATTCAGCTATGCTATTCAAGTTTCTTAGGATGGAATCTCTGCAAGCCTATCTTCATTACTAGATAAATATTGAAAATTAGTATTTGCAACTGCATCTGGATATAGTTTTCAAAGTTTTTACTGGAGATCAAATGAGGTGAGAAGCTAATCTACCATTTTATTGAAGTCGTAATTTTTTTTCTATAGCTCTAAGTGGTTCAATTCCAAACATTTGACTTTGTCTGTCTGTCTGTCTGTCTGTCTGTCTGTCTGTCTCTCTCTCTCTGCTGTGACTCTTATCAAGAAGGGTTGGTTGGATTTGGTGACAAAGGTGATTGTTATGGGAAATGAAAAAATAAAACCCAAGCCAAAAAGCAATTTAGTTCATCTTTTCTTTTTTTTCACTTTAAGTATCAACAAGCCACAATGAGGCAGAGATGTTTGTCTATAGCCCTAGGGTCAACATGTTTCCATTTATTTATGTTTTGTTTAAAGAAAATAGTATGTGTGTGTGCATTTTTGTGTGCTACTCACCATCATAGTTCTGCATTTCTCACTGAAGTCCTCACTGTCATTCCTAGTGACACAATGGGCATAATGTTAAAATCCAAATAATAAGACAATTTCTACAGTTTAAATTCAGCACATATTATAGCTTCTTACCCAAAGTAGATTTTTGATAAATATTTGTTTCATTGAGTAAACACATAATCATAAAGTACATTATGCCCTTAGTTTATCTTATTAACTTCTAGAGTAGTTGGAAAAAATGAGGGCAATAATCTACATCTTTTATTTTAAAAACTATAATATCCTTTATCTCTTTTGTGTTTTATTTTCAATGTTTAAACAAACAGAAAAAAATAACTGAGTAAGGTGTCAAGAGGTCAAGTGTGAAGAATAGAAAGAAAACAGAAGCCGACTTGGTGAAGAAGGAGGGAGGATTATACAGTTCATGAAGGAGTAACGCTTAGAAGATATTGATCCCACAAAGCTCAAAGCCCAATGCATACAAAATGTGTATTTTACAATGAATTCCAATACAAATGGATTTTATTTCATTTTATCAGTGACATTCACTTTTCTAAGAAATGAAAGAGATTGAGCAGAGCAGGGATTCATTACTTCCTGTACTTAACACACTAGGGATGGTCTCCAGTGTGGGCAGATAGAGGGTGGTGTAGATGCCAGCTCTCATCTCAACAATATGTAGGTAATTCTATTCTAGCAGATATGGTCAGTGGTCTATTTCTTGTTTATAAGTAGTATTTTATGAAAGGAAAAGCTGGTCTAAATATAATTTCACAGAAGTGCTATATCATTCTCTCCTTTATCAACTTTTGTAAGTTTCCATTCCAGTCAACTGAACTCAGCAAAATTTGCCACTGATGTAAATGGTCTTTGGAAAAATTAATTTCTAAATTCAATGACTAACATAAGCAGTTTTAAAACAGACAGTCGAAAGAAGAGTTATGATTTCCTTATTAGTCTCCTCATAAGGAGGCTCCAGGCTGCCATAACAAAATGCCCCAGGTTGGGTAGCTTAAACAAAAGACACTTGTTTTCTCACTGTGCTAGAAGCTGTGAGTCCAAGATCAAATTGCCAGAACTGGTTTCTGGCGAAGCCTCTCTTCCTGGCTGATAGACAGCCACCTTCTCACTTCTCTTTAGTACCCTGATCAGCTAAAATATGAGTTTAAAGGTGTTCGGACTAGAAATTTTTGAAAATTTAACAACTTTATTAGATTATCTAGAGGACCAATCAATCTTGTTGACTGTGCACAAGCAGGCCTTTAAGGAACCAAAGGGAAGAGTAGGAATGATGTCAGTTGGTCCTTTTTGTTGCACAACATATTGGCACAGGAGTCCTTGAGAAAGAGTGAAATTTAAGTGGTGTCTTTTTTCACCTTTGTCCTTCCTGGCTTCTTTTACTGCACAGATGAGGCTACCCTAGGGAGAGTGTGCAAAGACAGTGAGGGGAGGGAGGAGGAAATAACATTGTCAAGAATTTACTGAATGCCATGAGCTGTAATAATCTGAAAAAATTTCAAATGTTTTTTCACTGTATTAGTAGATCATGCACAGATTTTTCTTGAAAGTTTAGGTCTCCATATCCATAAATGGCTTACATTTCCCATGTTCCTAGACATGATGAGTAATAAAAATCTCCATAGACATTTGTTGGCTTTATATTTAATAAAACAGATTTGTACTCAAAAGTTCTATTCAGCTATGAGCATGTTGGCCACATCAGAAGGGGTGACACCGATGTTTCTGAGTACTTTTCTGCTTTCACTTTTCACTTTATTCCAAGACTATCCTATTTAAGGAGAATTTTCTGCATTTTAATAAGGTAGGCACACTATTAAATCAGTCATTCAACTTCATATTTCTGTACTAATGCTTTGGGGATGTATAGTGCATAGGACTGGATTTTATTTCATTTTATCAGTGACATTCTCTTTTCTAAGAAATGAAAGAGATTGAGCAGAGCAGTGATTCATTACATCCTATTCTGGACACACTAGGGATGGTCTCCTGTGGGTTCTGAGATATATGTCTTGGTGTCCCCTAGACATATATCACAAGTTTTGTGCTTTTGATGTTCTTATTTCTTTGTTTTAAGAGGTTGCCTATACTTTGTTTTATGTTTTAAGCTCTATTTAAAAGACAGAAGGTAACAAAATTTGTCAGATAATTTAAAAATTCTAATTGATTTGGAACCTCAATTAAATTTTAACTACACCTTTGAAACAATACTTTACCTAATTTTAATCATAATAACCAGGTACTCTGCTAATCACTTTACATATATTTCCCATATAATCCTTTCAAATAACCTGATAAGGTATGTGTGCAATCCCATTTGGCATACTATGTTTTGTTCACTGCTGTATCCCAGTACCTTATGTAGGGCCTTCCTGGTATTTGATAAAATTTATTTCATAATTGAATGAAAGATGGAACTAAGGCATAGAGAATGTAATTTTCCCAAGGGTTGTGCAGCTAATAAGTCCAGTAGTAGAAATTCAAGCCCAGCTATGTCTGAATTTAGATCCTAAGAGGCAGCACTGCCTTGAGTTAATATGAACAACTAACAAGATGCCACAACATGCCTTAGTTAACTATTCCAGAATTTTGCAAAACAAATTCTAAAGAAGACTTTTTTTTCAATTGAAATTTCTCATGCTACAGTCAAAGCACTATTTCTTTTGTTCTGTTTTTAATACAAATGTAGAAATCTCTTCTTTTTTTAATTCCAAAATATTAAGAGGTACAAATGTTTTTGTTATATGGATCCACTTTATAACACTTAAGTCAGGGCATTTAGTGTACCCATCATGAGAGTAGTGTTCATTGTACCCAATAAATAAGTTTTTACTCCTCGTCCTCTCCCAACTTCCCTTTCTTGGATTCCAGTGTCCTTTACATCTCTTTGTGCCTGGGTGTGCCCATAATTTAGTTCTCAATTATTAGAGACCACATGTGGTGTCTGTTTTTCCATTTCTGATATACTTTGCTTAGGATAATGGCCTCCAGGTTCATTCAAATTGCTACAAAAGACATTATTTTATTTCTTTTTATGGCTGAGTAGTACTCCATATACATATACATCACATTTTCTTTATCCACTCCTCAGTTGATGAGTACTTAGATTGATTCCATATCTTTGCAATTGTGAATTGTGTTTCAATAAACATCCAGGTCTTCTTTATAAAATGACTTCTTTTCCTTTGCCTAGATACAAAGTAGTAGGATTGCTAGATCGAATAGTAGGTCTATTTTCACTTCTTTGAGGAATCTCCATACTGTTTTCCATAGAGGTTTTACTAGTTTACATTACCACAAACAGTGTATAAGCATCTACGCTGAGAAAAATCAAATTGAAATCACCATTAGATACCATTGCACACCTACTACATTGGCAAAAATTAAAAAGTATGAACATAACAAATGTGAGGGTGGAGGAGAAGGGAATCAGAGCAGAATGGTTAGGAATCTAATCTCTTGTGCTGAACTCTCTGCCACCGTATGGCCTGGGGCAAGTCACTTCACCTCTGTGTCTCAATTTCTTTATCTGGAAAGTGGGAATAACAGTAGTATCTAACTTTAATTACATTATAATTTTTAAATCAATATTCTTAGAATAGTATCTGGCACATAGCAAGAATAATTAAGTATTTGTTTTATATAAATGTTTATATTTTAATAAAATAAAATGTGATAAAAGAGAAACCCTAAGACTCTGCTAATGGATGTGAGGATGGAAACAGCCACTTTGGAAAACAGTTGGCATGATCTATAAATATCATTAAAGATTCATAGACTTTGCAATACATCAATTCCATTTATAGGTATATAACCTAGAGCATGTATAGTAGATATATTTATAAGAATGTTTATGAGAGTAAGACATATTTATATTTATAAATATGTTTATAAGAATGTTTATAAGAATGAGACATATTTATAAGAATGGAAACATTGCTTAATATTACAGAAATATAAACAATCATCTAAAAAAAGAATGTATAAATAAATTGTAGAAGACACATACAACAAAATATTATACAGAATGAAAAGAAATAAACTACAGTAGTAAACTTCAGCTAGCCTGAAATATATAGATAAATCTCATAAACATTATGTTGAGTGAAAGAAGCAGACACAAAAGAATACAAAGTATGATTCTATTTTCATAAAATTCAAAAACAAGGAAATGCTAAAGTATATTGGTAGTATTTCAAGAATAGTAAAAATATTATTATAGTTTAAATAAGGATATTGGATACTGATAGGAGAGAGAATGAGTTTTGAAGGGGAGGACTATCAAGAAGTATAATGCATACAGCTGTTCTTCTTATTTCACTTATATAAGATTAAATAATGTTGCTCTAAACATTCTTATATGTGTGTCCAGGTTTATTTATTCTAGGTTACATATCTAGGCCTGTAATTACTGGGTCACAGAAATACAATGTTGTTATGTCTCTAGACCTGTGAAGAGGTTACACAGGTGCTTATTAAACTACACATATGTGATTTGTGTACTTCTTCAGTATTTATGTTACATTACATTATTTAAAAAGAGCAAATAGATTGTGAATAATTGGGGAACCAAGCATAGAAATCACTTAAGAAATTGTGGTGTGAAGAAGACTACAGCAGTGATAAGAGGACATAGAAAGTAGGGAGAAATTGGTGAGTTTGTCTTTCTCTTTCTGAGAAGGGAGATATTAAGAATTTATAAATATTTTTGAAAAATATCTGGTTGGGGGAGGATTCAAGTGTATAGAAGAGAAGAGGGAAAATCAATTGAGTGTAGTTTCTGAAAAGTAGGAAGTTCTGGGGGACCATTCTCCATGAACTGCTAGTGTCCTGCACATCTTGGGAGCAGACACACTGACTGCATTTGTTCTGGACTGTCTTTTCCAGGATGTTTGTGCAGGCAACAGCCATGAAAAACATAGTGTCTCCCTCTTTGGCAAAGGGCAAGTTTGTTACTGCTCATTGTAATAAGGATAATATCTCACATCATGGCAAATGTCAGACAGACTTACTGCCCATTATAAAAGA